TGGAACAGTCTTAATTTCTGGGTCACAAGAGGGGACTTGTGAATCAGCTATATTTTGATAATTGATTTGAAATCCAATTAGCATTGTTAATTAGCTAACATGAAATAATAGGCTGTGGGTTTATGAAAAAGATTGGACTTACTGGAAAGCTCGGTGTGTAGAAGAGTCATGTTGCAGAGTGCTGGAGAATTCCTGAGTCTGCTGATCCAGCCTATGGACTTGCCTCTTCACTGACCTGAGGAGGCATACAGAGACACTGGTAAAGGAGCTGGATACTTGAATTGACTGAATGATAGACAGAAGTGGAATGACTGAAAATGGATGCATCCGTAATGATTTGATACAACATTCAGAGCAGGCCATTCAGGTGCTCGTTTAGTCCATGGTCATCTCAAGGCTTGACTTCAGCAGCTCACTCGTGGCTGCTCTTCCGAGGCTGTTGCACAGTTTGTCTTCAGTCTTCCTAAGTTCACTGATGTCATTCCATTGCTGCATTCTCTTCACTTGCTTCCTGTAGCTGCCTGCATCAGATTTACAACTCCGATGCTTGCCTACAAACTCCAAAGTGGACCAGCTCCCCAGTACTTGATGGCAATTCTCAAAACTCAATCCATATCTCAAGCCCTTCAAGCTTCAAATACGGCTCGCCGTCCTTCAAGATACATGGAAGACAAGACTCTACTCTGTCCTGCAGCGCAGATGGTGGAATGAACTTTCTTTAATGGGCCCATTTCTTGGAGAAACTAATTTTGAAAGCAGTTTGATGTAATATAAAATCGCTATAACATTTTCAGAATGTCCAGTTCTCTCCTCAGGTGATATATTAAAACTAAGCTGCAGAAATAGCCTGTTTTGAATTCACTGTTTTTGTATTTTTGTATTTCTCTATTTACATATGCCTGCATATTCTGCCTAGAGCAGCCAATTAAAAACCAGTTCTTTGTGAAGCATTTAAAATGTGTCCAGACTTCAAGGGTAGGTAGTACTCTGAACTCTTTCAGCGGATAACAAAGCACTTTTGTTAGTTGCTGTGGGTAAGACTGTCTGCTAAGTGCCGAAAAGCATAATAGGTATAAAAGAGTACAACACTGTGGGATAGACGCAGAGCAGAACTGGATTGGTTAGCACCCATTTCTATCCAGGTGGATTGGATGAATCCAGAGGTTCATATACTTGTATAACTTTTACAGCAAAATGTAATCATTTCAGTAGAAATGACAGCTATATTTTTGCCTGTTGAATTGAAAGCCGATTAGCAATGCTAAGTAGCAAACATGAAATAAGCAGGTCTGTGAAGGAGTTGGGGCTTACTGGGAAGCTCGGTGTGAAGAGTCATGTTGATGAGTGCTGGAGTATTCCCTAGACTGCTGTTCCAGGATTTGAACTTGCCTCTTTACCAATCTGAGAAAGCATACAGAGACACTGGTGAAGGAGAACTTCAATGATGTAAAAGAAGTGGAATGACTGCAAATGAATACATCCATAATGATGAAACATTAGCTTTGTTATGACACATATAAAAACATTATGACGTGTCGTTCTAAATACTGGTAATGGTACTGACACTGTAATACAACCCCATTTCCAGAAAAGTTGGCACACTGTGTAAAATGTAAATAAAAACAAAATGCAATGATGTGCAAATCATTTAAACCCTATATTTAATTGAAAATAGTACAAAGACAACATATAAAATATCTAAACTGAGAAATGTTATTGCTTTTTGAAAAATATATGCTCATGTTAAATTTGATGCCAACAACACGTTCCAAAAAAAGTTGGTACGGGGCAAAAAAAGGCTGGTTAAGTTGTGTAATGCTAAAAAAAAAAACACCTGGTGGTTAATTGGCAACACATCAGTAACATCACTGGTAGAGTCTTTCAGAAGTAAATATGAGGAGGGGTTCACCACTCTGTGAAAGACTGCAATATCAAATAGTGCAGCAATTCAAGAATAACGTTTCTCAACATAAAAAAGCAAAGAACTTAGAATTAAGAGGATCTAGAAATGCTGCCACCTTCTCTGGGCCAGAGATCATTTAAAATGGACTGAGGGGAAGTGGAAAAGTGTCCTGTGGTTTGATGAATCAACATTTGAATTTTTTTTCTTTTTGGAAATCATGGACACTGTGTCCTCTGGGCTAAAGACCACTCAGCTTGTTAGTCAGTGCATAGTTCAAAAGCCAGTATTCATGATGGTATAAGGGTATTTTTTAGTATTTTAGTATGCATGGCATGGGTGACATGCACATCTGTGAAGGCACCATTAATGCTGAACAATGTATATATGTTTTGGCAATATATGCTGCCATCCAGACAATGACTTTTTCAGGAAGGCCTTGACTATTTCAGCAACACAATGTCAAACCACATTCTGCATGTATTACAACAGCATTGCTCTGTATTAAAAGAGTCCGGGTGCTAAACTGGCCTGCCTGCAGTCCAGACCTGTCACCACTGACAACATTTGCCACATTATGAAATGAAAATATGACAAAGGAGACCCTGAATTGTTGAGCAGCTGAAATCCTGTATCAAACAAGGAAGTAAAAAACATTTCACTTTCAAAACTACAGCAGTGTCTCCTCAGTTCCCAAATGCTTACAGAGTGTTGTTAAAAGAAGAGGTGATGAAACACAGTGGTAAACAAGCCCCCGTCCCAACTTTTTTGGAACGTGTTGTTGGCATCAAATTCAAAATGGGCACATATTTTTCAAAAAAGTATACAATTTCTCAGTTTCAACATTTGAATTGTTGTCTTTGTAGTATTTCCTTTAAAAATATGGTTTACATGAATTTCTATTTACATTCTGCACAGCATCCCAAATTTTTTGGAAATGGGTTTGTATTACTGAACAAAATCTGTCAGGACAGCCTGGCAGCATAGCATATCTTCAATGACATGTTTATGGCATGAGGTTCAAGGAAAGTGGTACCACAACATGTAGCTCAATCTACCAACCTGGTTCTGGCATCCATTTGAATCAAAGCTGCTGGATACCCTGGTAAGTTTTTCTTGGTTTAATTCTTAATCTGAGATGCAGACAAAGCTTCTTCTCTGTGGAATACAAAGGCGTTTCCTCAGACAAAACACACTTAACTATTGTTGATCATATGCAATATAGTGGCCACATAGCTTTGTGGCTATGATCAACTAAATATGTCATCATTCATTCAATTTGATTTCAATTTGGCAGTTACCACTTTTTAAACTATACCTTTAATAGCACTTTTCATAACATTGTCACAAAGCATTGCATGTGCTGCATTTATCTCCATATGTTTTCACTTGCAATAGAATAAGCACAGTAATATATGCAAAGTGTTAAAATGAAAAGATTGTACACCTACTTTTCCTGTGTTGCTCAAAAGTACAGCTGATTAAACTGTCTGCAGTATCCAGCCCACATAAAGACAGACTGCGTTGTTAAATAAGTGGTTATGACTGTTTGCTTTTCTTCCTGTTAAACTGTTTTCCCCGCCAAGTCAGCTTACACACTCAAGAAGCTTCTTGCCACTTAGTTCTGAAAATGAGATACAAGATATACAAATGAAACCCAAGAAACCACACAGGAAACTGCTTCCGTTATAGAGACAAATGATCAATGACTAGAATTTGCCAGAGGATTCTCTCATACATCTTAGTGACGTGAGAGTGTTTCTAACACAGCAGGGTTTTTGGTGACACTTTATTTGGAGGGTGTCCTTTTTAGATGAAATAAACACTCAACAGACTCTCAGCAACATCAACAAAATATTAATGATGTAGCAGCAGTGAAAACAGTCAGTAGATTATTAAGAGACTTTTAATTAACTGTAATAAAATGTGTTTTTAATCTGCTGAATTCAGTTGTTTTTCACTTTATTTGGAGAATCCAGCTTCATATTTGTAGATGTTTAACCTGAGAGGAACTGAACATGAAACAGGTTTAATGTAGACCATCAACATTCTCAACAAGCTGTTACAGACACACTAAAACCATCCTGTACCTGGAGCTTCACTGGATTAGGGTTTGGTTAAAGTTAAGGTTAGGGTTAGGAATAGGGCCAAGGTGAGGGTTAGGATTAGGTTTTGGGTTGAGGTTAAGGTAAGGTTTAGGATTAGGGCCAGGGTCAGGATTAGGTTTTGGGTAAGGTTGGGCAAAGTTAGGTTTTCCTTAATGGAAGTAACATATTAATAATACATCTACTTAATGCAAGTAATGTCTAAAACATATCTTTAAGATATTGACCTCAATGTATTCAGACGCTGCACTATTGCTACTTCACTGCTATGTTATGTGTTACTAATAAGCTGTTAAGAGTTTATTAATCAACTACAAAAGACCACTCCAAATAAAGTGTCATCAATTTTTAGTAAATCTGGATGACTTAATGCAAACATTATGATGGCTCAGCTGAAATCCCCCATACCTCTTCTTATACTGGAGAAGACTGACTTTTGGCATGAAGCAATTGTTGGGTGAAAGATCAGATATACACACATTTACCCCTAAACCCAAATGCAGTAGATCAGCCAAGGCAAGTTTGATGTTATTTTAGCAAACTAAGACAAAGTTTGCTTTTTTTAGTTTTGCCCTGAAGCTTTAAGGCTAATGTAGCTAAAGTAGAAGAGCAAGACAACCTAAGCAGGTGCAGGGGTCCCTGAAAATCGCACCCCCAGTAGCACCCCCTGAAAATTGTTCCATTTGCTTCCAATTAACCTATTTTTGTTTTAACTTTCAGTAGCCCATCATGGTATAAACCCAGATCCATCACTCACTTATATTCTTGATAAAATGTATTATCTCACTCATTGTGTTGCATTAAAATAGAGATGTTTAATGTCTGCATGTACTGCAATCAAAGACATAAAAATAAAACTCCCTCCATCTCTACTTCCTTATGATGGACTGATTTTATTATGCGTAAGTTTAAATTCAGACAAACACGTTGTTGATGTCTGGCTCAACCTATTAAAATAGGTTCTGTGGTCTATGCCAGGGGTTCTCCGCCTTTTCCCGTCAAGGCCCACTTGTTTATTACTAGTCCCACAGGAAAACTAAACTCTTTTTTGCTTAAAAATATCATTTAGGGAAATTTTCAGGACAATTATGTTTGGTTGTCAACCCTTGCAATACATGACACATATTAGTAAACATCCTAGATAAACAGTGTTTTCTTTCTCGAGGCAAGCAGCAAAAAACATTCAATATTTCTTTTTTATTGTTAAGTCAATTATTTTTTCACTGATTTTTATGACAAGGTGCCATCAAAAGTCCTCTATGGACTACTGGCTTCCCTCAGTACTGAGCCGAGGACTGCCGGTGGGTGGCTTTGCGGCCCACTCGTGGTCCGCGGCCAGAGATTTAGAAACCCTGGTCTATATGACAAAGTAAAAGGTTTCATTATTGCTCGCCTGCTGTTATTAGCAGCAGCTCGTGCTGCAAGCATGATATGAGCCTCTCTTAACCCTTGTGTGGTGTTGGGGTCTGTGGGACCCATTTTCAGTGTTTACCAAAAGAAAAACTGATGTGATTTATTATTATTTTAACCTCAGATTCTTGCCTTTTGCTCATTTTCTGTGAAGAACATATAAAATAACCCATTTTCAGTGTCTTCACTCTGTTCACCCCCCACACATTTATATTACACATGTGGTGTTGGGTGAACCTGCTGGGAGTAAAAGAGTGGAGTTGCTGTGTCCTTCACTCTGTTCTCCTCCTACATGGCCTGCTGTTAGTGTGTGTCTGTGTGTGTATGTGTTTGTATATATATGTGTGTGTGAGGGTGGACAACATGGACAGGCTGCTGACTGGCTTCAGCTGCTAAAGGAGAACCCTACGCTGGACACTTGTGATATTTTAAATATCTGGTATTTTTACATTAATTGTTATGGCTGTATTGATTTAAAGTGGGTCCACCAGACCACTGAGTAAAAACCACATCAACACCACACAAGGGTTAAGAGTCAAATGTTGAACAGGCCCATTCCTTAAACAGTACATAGCACATGTCTGGATGCTAAATTCCTTTGTTTGATTCAGACCATCGTAAAAAATTTATCCTACCAGCAGTGAACTGAACCACATTTCGCTTCAAGCCAGACCCACAATTTTTTGTGGACCACAGTTTATATGTTTTTTATACACCTGAGTACAAGTGGAGTGTTCACACCTGTCAAACTAAAGAAAACGTTTGATTAGTCAGCACAAAACAAAATAGGTGTATAGTCCGAATAACCCATGGGTGAAAGATATACTTATGTGTGCTCGAATACTGAAATATGGAATCTTCTCTTTCCTGTCTACAAACTGGGCTCATGCGCAGCCGAGGGGCGAAACTGCTCTAATAACTTAGCCGGTCGCAAGACTGTAAAGTTAGTCGACTGTTGTAATCAACATAGATTTCGCATTGTTTGTAAATTCTTGTTGACTCAATAATAAAATGCTATTTTAAAGTTGAATCTATTGGTTTGTCTTTCATTTGCATATTAATATAACATGTAAAACATTAGCTAACAATAGTTGACTATCAGTATGAACTAGTCATCAGGTCTCTGTGATAAACACCCCACTAAGATTGCTGTTCACTAAATGATTAGCTAATAGGAGCGAATCCGAAATCATTTATGGCTTGATGACATGTCTTATAATTTTCACCCAACTTACCGGGTTTTGTTGTTTGTTGAGCCTGTCTATCCTCTCCTTCTTTGACAATATCAGGAACATGGCGGTACCTTTAGTGTCACTAAGCTAAGTCAAAGTAAAAATGTTAACTTTGGTGGTTGCTTTCCGACCTGCCGCAACTGAATTCGATAGCTACTGTAAACATACTGTACAAGACATGAGATGCATGACAGATTGATGTGGATAGTGAGGAAATGGCTGGCACAGATTACATTGAAAGCCTAGGTAGCTCAGACTGTGCTGATTACCACAGTAGATTAGTTCTCAGTAGAAACATACCTATGGGTCAGTGATTCCAGGCCCCAAACCTCATGTTCACATATTGCCTCCACGATGTTTCAGCACCCCTGTAGCACCCCTGTAGAAACAAATTCCTGGGCCACCTCCCAACCCGAGCAAATGCTAAACACCGTTTTGAAAGGATCATTTCATTTATTGAAGGAGAAAGCACACACATACACACACACACACCTACCCAGGCTTGATTACACTGTGTAGTGGGCTAAAAGGTCTCAACAAGCAGCAAACTATGCCATGATCAAAAAATTCTGGCAGAGATTTAAGATGATTTAGAGGTTTAGATGATTTTCTGAAGTTTATCTGAAACTTCTCTACAGAAAACACATTTGAATGCAAAATTACTGTTTATCTGCTGAACATATTGAGAAAAAAAGAATAAAATGTGAGCTGTGCCTTTTTTGCTAATATGTTAAACTCAGCAAATAGAAATTGTGCTGTAAAATTCAAGTCTGAACAGCCATGCATTGAAATTTACAACATTTAGATTCAGATATCAACATGTCCAGCATGTCTAAAGCTTATTTTAATTTCTTACAGAGCTCTTAATAAGACATAGGCGAGGCTTAGTGTAACAGTCCAGGCTGGGGCTTCGTCATCTGCAAGGCAGCTGTGTCCACCAGAGGGAGGCAGAGAGTTACCCTCCAGCAATCAGGACGATTTGCTGAAGAACTGTGTCCCCTCTCCTCATCCACTTCAAAAGAGATGATGGAGCTTTCTTCATGCCTAGGCTGGGCAACGTGGACGTCCTGGCCTTCCAGCTGGACAAATACATCCGCATCACACAGCAACTCTGCAAGAGCATTAGGTAAGTAACCAGTTCAGTTACACTACATACAGTTATTACAGTTAGCTCTATGATTATAGGCACCCTCGGTAAGCCCATATGGAAAAGAGAAGCAAAATGTATTTATGAAGTACATTTAAAAACATATATATGGCCAAAAATGTTTGTTTTGAAATATATTTTGAATCAGTCTATCTGACATGGCCATGTATTTTTTTTTCCATATGGGAAGTGATGAAATTATGTCTTTGAGGTTGATTATCTCAGTCTTCCTCTGATATGATAGATAGCTTTAATTAATCCAAAAATATGTAAAATAAAATGAAGCATGTTCCCATTTATATTTCCTTTTTCAAGTCCACCTGAGTGTTCAGGGACTCTAAGGCAGTCTTAAGCAGAAGCCAAATTCTCTTTAAATGGGGAAGATTATACTCAAATCAAATGAGATAAGTGTGTTGACCTTAGACAGTGGCTATAGAAAATAACTACATAAATAAAACATGTCTATATTTACTTTTGTGGCAACAATTGAGAAATTTTAAACAACCAGAGATGTAGTAAACCTGCCTGCAAGAGGATGCATGTTTATTGTACCCCCATGCACAGTGAGGTGGACTGCTAGAGAGGCATACATTTATTTGAGGGTCCCAGTTGAAGATTTGCAGTAGTATTTCAGGGTCACCAAG